GTACATTGTGTTTGTATCCAGTAATGAAGAATAACACTGCACAAAACCCTAGACGATGTATTTTTCTTAGTGGACTATAGCTAAACAACTATTTCACTTTATCGGTAAGCTTGTGCAAGTATATAAAACAGGAGTTAAGACACACAGCACCTTTGTCCTGAAAAACATGTTTTATCATTGTTTAGTTCATGCAATTGATAAATGTATTTCATTATTAAATGGTTAAAATCCAAATTGTAAATAACCTTGAGTGTGCAATAGCTGAAATTTAGGCCTGATTTTAGCTCAAACAGTCTCCCCTTGTCAGATCCAGCAATCCCGCAGAAGACATAAGAGTGCTGCTCCACTAGCCTGTTTCAATTATCCACCAAACGTGGAAGACGAGTTTAATGGTCTTTTACATGGAAAATCAGCTACAGCTTGAACTTTCCATGATGAAAGCAGGAGCTTGAACTCATTTTTTTCTCTTTTTTTTTTTTTTTTTTAGATATAGGAAGGAACAAACTGCAACAACGCATCACCTGCCTGTCACAAAAATAAGCTATATCTGGAAAAAAAATCAATGCATTGTTTGTGGACTGAAGGAGATGTAGGCTATAAAGTAGTCCTGAAGACGCAGAGGCAGAACTTTTCCTTTATGTCGCTGCACTGTCATCATACTGCCCCCCAGTTACAGAAATGGCTCATTGTGATGGGACAGATTGTTCATGAATATTGAATCGATCCTTTTGGCTTTTATAAATTAGAAATCGCTCTTGCCACACTCATGTGAGCGTCTTGTTGGATGACTTGGAGGGATAGCTCTGCAAAATGGCATGCGGGACTCTGCCATGTCGGGGCAGGGAAGACAAACAGGCGGTGTGTTTGAGAAAATTGGATACACATTTAAAGTTTAAACACTGAGTGACGTCCATAGTTAACATCTCATGTGACTCCCAGCAGGAGAGTTCTGCTTCTGTGTTGGTGTGGGTGTGATTTAGACGTCAGTACGTGTTGGGCTAAATGAAGAGAGTTCCTGGAACGTGGTTCATGGCTTTATGTCTTTGTACATGTGTGAATTTTGATCTTCATGAATTGGTGTCATTCCAGATGGATACCCTCAGGACAGAAAAAAAAAGAGAAAATATGTGTTTGATTATTTCTTAATCTCTAACATTTGGCCAAAGATTTATGACAGAAATTGTGCACAAATGATTCTATCCAATCCTCAGTAGCAGTCAATTAAATCAAATACTCTTGGAAAATAACCATTACATGCTTTTATGTGATGAACAAAGCTTAATATGTGTAACTGTTCTCACTACTTTGTATTAGTTTTTTGGCGCTTAGTCATCGCATACATTTCTGGATGGTTTGGAAATCTCTTGCGTGACAGATAAGGTTACCTCATGCTCATAAATAGAGGTGACTGCACTGCATGTTCTCACAGTTAAGACCAATTTATCCACAGATTTGATCCAAATGCCGTTGGTTTCTTACCTTTTTAAGTATAATATCTGTGGTGGTATGTAATATCAGAAATGTGTTATTAGTATAATTCATGGCAGAGCACAGTCTTAAGAATAAACCTTAGGATACAGCCAGAGCTTATCTATGTTTGCTTGTAATGGTGGCGTTTGGCCTTGGAGAGCTACAATATAATGCTGTTTTTCCTTAGAACATATGTGCTTTGTTGAGAGACCTTAACTGAAGGCAGCATAAAGTAAGTATTATATTATATTATATGATATGATATGATATTATATTTATTATACTATGTTGTATTATATTGTACTTTTTAAAAGAGTAAAGCTTGAGGTATAAGGAGGATTTTTAGTGAATAAATACTTAAGATTTTATTTCCTTGCACAAAAAAGCACACACACCCTGAAAAACAAGTTTTTTTAATTCACCAAATTTAATGAAATACAGCAGCAGAGTGATGGATGAATTTTTGTAAATGTTTGAGTGATGTGTATATTGCACTCACAAGTATTTATTTTTTATTTTTGCCCTTTTTTCTTGCCTTTGAGCTTCATTTGCTTCTTCCTTGGCAAGCCCAGAGGTTCCCACCAAATTCCTAAAACCATTCCTCCTCCTCCCTGAAGGCAGTTTCATGTGCATGAGAAAGAATATCTCAGACCTCAGATGATAAGTCATATATTTTCACATTAATGTGATTTGAATAATTTGACGAGAGTCTCAAAGCAGACTTGTCTCTTTCTTCCAAATTCAATATCTAATTTCATGAGTGATAAAGAATGTCTTAAAAAAAAGACATTTCATAGTAAATTATTAAGTCCATGCTTGTTTTGGCTGGTGGAGCAGGTTTATATTCAACTTAGAACATTGTGTTGTAATACCTTTATATCAGTCAAAAAAATAAATAAGATTAGCATGATAAATAATAGAATTTTGTAACTGTTAGTGCATATAACTCTGCATTAAACAAATAATGTTCTTTTTCAGAGGAATCATGTCTGACAGCAGACCAACAATTTATCTATTGTGCTTATAAATAAGCATCATCTCCATTATATACACTTCTTTATTTACTCAGAAAAATCCACACAAGCAAATAAAAAACACATTTATTTGTCCAAACCAATGGTACTTTTGTTCAAATAAACACTTTCTAAACTGACATTGCAGACAGATGATGGTAATAGCTCCACAGTTTACATCTAATCCTGTAGTATGCCCTGTTCACATCCTCTGGGTTGACACAGATGACCCAGAGGGGCCGTGTTGCCTGGTGGGTCAAAGTACATCACAAATCACTCCCAAATTGGAGCTTCTTCCCAGGGCAAAAACAGACAGCTGTCACAATGCACCTTTCTTCTTTTAACACTGAAACTCCATTACACTTAGAGATAAGATAACATTGCTTTAAGTGGTAGAATCAATATCTGGTCCAATACTCTTAAAAATAAGTAGCAGCTTATCTATAAAATTGAACTGATGCTATAACAATCTATGAGAAAAAAAGTGTTGTTTTAACCAGTCATTCATGATATGTAAAATTCTCTATAGTTTAATCACTGTACTGCATATAGAGTAAACAGAGCTGTTTGGTTGTTATAGTGCTATAATACGTTTAAATTTATATATATTATAAATGTGCAACATTCCTCACTCACTAACATAAGTGAGTATGTTAAGTGAGACCTTACTAACAGAAGGATAATCTGTGACATCAAATTCCATTACAAAAATTACCTTTTCTTTTTTATATTCACCAGCACGCAAAATTATCAAGACCCATATAGGTCTCTGTCAGAATGTGTATAATTGCATTCATATTAGTTTCCAATTACATTAAGAAGAAAATGGATTTCATAAAATTCCATATATATTACCTTTCAAAAATGTGGGGCCAGTAAGATTTTTTTGTAGTTTGTTTTTAGAAAAAGCTGCATTTGTTTGATCAGAAATACAGTAGAAACAGTAATTTTGTGAAATAGTGTTACATTTTCAAATAGCCCTTTATTTGAATATGTTTAAAAATTAAATTTTCAGCTAAAATGTAAAGTTCAGTATTTATTTGAAATAAAAATCTTTATAACATTATGAATGTTTTTACTGTTTCTTTTGATCAGTTTCTTGGATCTTTATTTCCTGAAGAAAAACATTGAAAATGTTTTAATGAAAAATCTTACTGACCCCAAACTTTTTTCCTACAACCTACAACAAGAAATATTTCAACTTAAAATACAGATGATATACAAATACTGAGGCATTTAAATATTAATAATATGAATGTATGCAAGGTTATTAGCATGTATGACTTCTCTTCACAGAGAATTCACAGTGTCAAACAAAAAAAAAAGGCAAAGATATGTTTGTATCTCTTGGGCGTTTTTGTTTTGATTACAGAAAGGCCCCTTTTCCCGCGCCCTTATGCTCATTTTTTTTCTTTACCCTATAAAACAGCATTTGTTGGATGCATTCCAAGAAATTACTCTTAAATCCCAGCAAGGTCAAAGTTTCATTTGCCTCCTTATTGCTGGAACTGAATCCAGCTGGTTCATTTCACAATTGCTGTCTTATGTTCATGTTTTGATTTTTTATTTAAATCTGAGCTTACATTTTCATCTTAAACAAGCATATACACAATAAACTTAATTTGGCATTCAAAAACAAAGGCTTGTCTACATTATCTTCCCACCCCACTAAATAAACAGGTGACGTCCAGCGCACATTATGATTCACTTAAAGGGGTCATATGACGTTGCTAAAAAGAACATTATTTTGTGTATTTGGTGTAATGAAATGTGTTTATGCGGTTTAAGGTTCAAAAAACACATTATTTTCCACATACTGTACATTATTGTTTCTCCTCTATGCCCCGCCTTTCTGAAACGTGTCGATTTTTACAAAGCTCATCGGCCTGAAAAAAAAGGTGTGCTGTGATTGGCCAGCTATCTAGTGCGTTATGATTGGCCGAAAACCTCAAGCGTGTGACGGAAATGTTACGCCCCTCACCATACTGTGATGATGCCCTGTCCGGCCAGAGCGATGATTCAAAAACATGAAAACCCATTATAAACGAGGCATTCGTTGCATCCAGTGGGGACATAATTATGGATTATAATGACTCATACTGTCGTTTTACGCATTGCGTTGCATCGCGCCACGTAAACATAAAACCATGTCTGCATTTGTCATCGGAGAAATGACAAACAACAAGCCCTACTCTACACTGCCCAAAACTTGTGTTTGAATCATCAGTGGCAAATTCTTTAAATATAAAAAACGTACTTACAGTCTGTGAGTCAGAACAGCTGGCATTGTAGTCTACTCTACCAGGCTCAGGAAATATCCTCCATAAAATGTGCTGCACACATCTGCATATTTGGGTTGAAGTGTTCTGGAACAGTGTTGTAAATACAACTTAACCATTGATTTCTAGTCATGTCCATTTTTGGTAGGCCAAACAATGAAACACAGCATCACACACGGCGGCCTAGAGTGAGCGGCGGCGGCCTAGAGTGAGCAGAGGCCGGGGGCTAGAGCTAAATAAAGACATGCTGGGAGTTTCTTTGGCAAAGCTCGTGGGTAGGAACACAGAAAACACAGATTGACCACTTCACTCTTCCTTTCGGTAAGTTCCTTTCACGTCGGACAGTGACGATCCAGAGCTTCATATTTAAGAGTTTTCATAAGGAAAACATGTCAAGCTCCTGATGAGGGTTAATTTGTAGCTGTTAGGTTCAGCTGCATCCTGTTGCTGTTGGTCTTCACTCCCACCACTTCTCACACAGCTCACTTCAAAACAACCCTCTGAAAGTCTGGGAGCAGCTGCTGTAGGTCTACGGGAGTCTTTAAATATATCAGGTCCATTGTCTGGTCTGATGCTATATATAAAAACAGTCTGATACTGCGCAGAGCACAGGATGAATATGAATTGTTACAATGTTTTCCACCTCAAAGTTTGACACTGGATGATGTCCGCTTCTATAATGCGTTTTAAGCATGTAGGCTGACTGTAGTGAGTCTTTCACCTCTCAGTCGCTGTATTTGCGGAGGCTTCTGTCGGTATTGAGGTTGCCGGGCTCATGGTTTTTGCACTGAATGCTAGTGCCGTTCATTGGGCCTGAGCTGGACACCTGGTTCTTGGTGTAACACCAACAGCACAAGCATGACTGCAATGATAAAGAACAAAGAAAAATCATTTGATTATACCAACATGAGTGCATGATTTGTAAACCAATACATTTTAATGTTGTATTACATTACCAGCTCCAAATGTATGACTTTTCTGACATAGTAAACTTGCTCGATAGCTCATCTGGTACAGCATTGCATTTGTGATTCGGAATGCTCGGATATGAGTGACATAAAATACAAGTCACGACACCCGATAAAACAGCTTAAAGAATTATAAAAGAAAGCTAAAATGGCATAATGGTTGCTTTAGCAAATGCATTTTTATCTAACGTTTACTTTTGTTAACACTGTTAAAATTAGGGTAGGGGGTATGTTATTTTCGAACACGATAAAGCATTAGGCTTTTAGCGCCATTCACTGGACATTACATTTTCAAACTGCTGTGATGCATGGAAGTGTCAACAGAATAAAAAGTTGATAGATTTACATACATCTGTTTCAGAGACACACTTGAACATGCTGTTTAGCACCACTCACTGGGCATTTCCATTTGAAAGTTCCATGAAACATGCAAGAAGCAATCTGCTGTAATATTATTTTACAGAAATGTTGCTACAGGGACATTTTTCTAATGAGCCTGGTTTAGATTTTAAGTAGTACACATTGTATTGTATTAGATGTGAATGACTTGCAATAAATCAGTATTTCTTATCTGCAGCTCTAAGTTTGGCCCATAGTAAATCAACTTTGAATATTTCTTTTGGATCCACACCATCTCTTGCACAAATCGTCAATTTTCTTGTATTTAGGCCCATGAACTTATGAATTGTTGTTGTTGTTGTTGTTTTGCTTTGTCTCACAACCACTTCAGCTGCACTGTATCTTTGGGATCATCCTCATTACTCAGAAGGAGCCCACTTAGGGTCTGACATCATTGTCGGTAAACTTTGCTCAGTAAGGGCCGGGCATGGCTTATCTCTCTCTGAGAATGACTCACAGGACCCTAAACTGTCTCTGTAATTCAAGCATAATTTGCTGATAGATTGTGCTGTTGCAGATTTTGTTCTGTTTTCAGATTTTGCGAAGACGCAAGGAAATACGTTTAGTCGATCTGTGTGAGTCTGTTTGCGATGGCAGGCAAATGAAGGAAGCAAGCCGTTTTAAACTCACCTTAAAGCAATTCTTGAACTTCTTGCTCACAAAATAGAGGATGATGGGGTTGATGCAGGAGTTCACAGTGGCCAAGTTAATGCCAAGATAATCCATGATCAACAGGAAGCTGAAAGTTTGGACACTCATTTAGTTTTGTTGCGTATCCAATTCTGTTTCTGAGTTTACATACCCTTTGCATAATACATTTTTTTTTAAACTAAGAAAGATCATAAAAACACCTTGAGCATCATTAGCTATAGCCTTATGTGATCTATATGATAGGAAGCCAAGAAAAAATGGGTTGTAAACTTATGTAAATTAGGATACAAGCAGTGCTAAATATGTATATATCTTTATTTTTAAAATGTGTATAGGTAGTATTTATAAAGTTTTAGCTTTTAGTTATGGATCTGTTTTTAGTTTTTTTTAATACTAAAATTGATTGCTTCTGTTTGTAAGTCGCTTTGGATAAAAGCGTCTGATAAATGACTAAATAAATAAATATGTGTGTGTGTGTGTGTGTGATTTAAAATATTTACTTTTGATGATTTTATTTACTTTTTAACATATAGCATTATGTTTTTTTAATGCTACAAATCTTACAGTCTCCAAGGGGTATGTAAACTTATGACCACAACTGTATAAACTTTAGAGTACAAGCTATAACTTTTACGTCAGAAAAAATACCTTATGCACAAGCAGCACAAGTATGTAAGGTATAAAATAAATCAGTCCACTCAATGTTAAGAGTCAAAATTGGCAAAGGCTCACTCACTTTAGTAGGCCACAACGTCTTTCATCATTTGGAGCATAAACCATTTTCTTCAACAGTCTACTGAGATGAAGAGGGAACCAGCAAAGAGCAAAGATCAGCACTAAACAGAAGACTGCTTTAGCCACTTCACGCCGCTGCAGAGCATAAACAAGCCATTAGAACAGCAGTATATTCAGCATTATATAATATACTCTCACATTAAAACTCAAAGGCTTTACCCACAATAGTGCATACAAGACAGGCTAAAATGTATGCCATGATATCATGTAAGTGTTCATAAAGACAATAATACAGTGTAAATGCAAAAACTTGTACTGTTCAGTATTAGTAGTATGTTTTTATCATACAGACTTGGAAGTTCATATTATCATTAGTATTAAGGATGACTTCTTACCTGTTTAAGGTGTTCGCTGAGAACTATCCGAAGGCTTCCATTTCTGCGGTTGAGCATTTCACATGTCATGAGGGTGTAGAAAATAGCTGTGCAGGCCAGTGGCACACAGAAGTAAAAGCTAAATAACCACCAGTCTTTCCAATTTACATAAAACTGAGAGAAGATAAAGCACATACAGTATCCATTACATCTACAGTAAACAAACACAGTTAATGTGTCATGAAATTAGATTAGCAAAGGGCTGAGTTGTGACAACAATTTTTTAATTCCTTTTTATATGATAAAAACATTTTTTGAATGCCAACTAGTTAATTTGCAGGAGTAAAAGTAGCAAAAATGGCCTCAGAAGATCTCAGCATTGATTTAATGGTGAGCTTAGACCTTTGATGGATGTTAAGAAGCCAGAAGAGCATTGAACCAGTAAGAAAAATAAAGAGATGATAACGATAAAGAGACTAAATTCTAGCTAAATATGTTATACACTACTCTAATTAGAATTTTAGCTGAGTTCAGTAAAAATATTACTGACCCCAAACTTTTGAACTGTGGTATATTAGCCAACTAGTCCATGCAAAGTAGTGGAAACTTCTTTTAGTAGTTTTTTTTTTCTTTCTTTTAGGAGAAAATAATTTTGCGTTGTGTACTGATCACCCTACTCGGTTTATTTTGTTAAAAATGATTCGCTGACCATTATCCCTAGGCCTACAACCCCCCCTAGCCCCCCCCCAAAAGGTACACAAAGTGACCTCAACACAATGATAATTAAATTTTTAATTATGTGCTGTATTGAGTCTCGTCTGAATTGTCTTTTGTTTCTGTGATTAATGGCAGGGCTCATATGAGAGAATGAACTCTGTTTCTCATCCACACATATGGCTCTGCTTGAGAGAGATACATCAGCTTGTAATTGCACTCATGGTCTGTTATCAATTTACTTCTTTGGAACGAACAAAGAGAAAGAAATCTCCAGATATCGCCTGCACGGAGCAACTGAAGGAAACTCGAAGGCTTTTACGCTTATCCTCCTGTATTGTCTGTTATTTACGCAAAATGTTGTTCCCAGGATCAAAGTTTGGAAAAGATCACAGAAATAGTGCATAGCATCCTGCTCGGGGTCAACCGGACAGGATGCACTGTTTATTACAAAGTGTTGGAGTGTTTATGTGAAGGAGGGGAAAAGACGTCTGCATGACATCCATCCGGTTGGAACGTACCATCGTGAAGTCAGTTTCAGGCTTGAGCATGCAAGTGCGGTAGGTTTGGTTCTTGTAGGTAAAGGTGACCATGTTGAAGACCACTGCCTCTGGCACAGCCAAGATGATGGACATGACCCAGATGGAGAAGATCTCAATGGCAGTGAAGAGGGGAATGCCGACCCCCTGCACTCTGCTCCAGGACGCTACAGCCCTGTACCTGAGCCACAAAAGGTACAACCGTTAACAAAACTCTCAGACAACTGCTCATCTGTTTCAAAACAAATACATATCGTTGAAGCTCCACTTCATGTGCACTAAACATTTCTGTGAATGACCTCAGAGAAGAATGTGGAGTCTTCAACACCATCTTTTTTTTACGTCAACACCTGTGAAGCTTGACTGATCAGATTCCTATCGCGTGGGAAAGCCGGTGTGCAGCTGTGGCAACATTGAGCTACTGGTTTATAGCTACAATATGCTTAAAGGTTGATCTAAGATTAATGAAAAGACTGCTTTGCATTTTAATATTCATATTACTAAAATGCTCACAGATATACTTCAGCTGTTTGTTTGGATAAAGTCACTGGTTTGCCTGACTGCTTGTTTCCCTTTGCTCAAAGTCATGTTTGCTTGTTTGTTTCATTAATATCTTTTCTCTTGTGGGTTTTTCTGTAAAACGGTTTACATATCGTTGAAGCTCCACTTCATGTGCACTAAACATTTCTGTGAATGACCTCAGAGAAGAATGTGGAGTCTTCAACACCATCTTTTTTTTTACGTCAACACCTGTGAAGCTTGACTGATCAGATTCCTATCGCGTGGGAAAGCCGGTGTGCAGCTGTGGCAACATTGAGCTACTGGTTTATAGCTACAATATGCTTAAAGGTTGATCTAAGATTAATGAAAAGACTGCTTTGCATTTTAATATTCATATTACTAAAATGCTCACAGATATACTTCAGCTGTTTGTTTGGATAAAGTCACTGGTTTGCCTGACTGCTTGTTTCCCTTTGCTCAAAGTCATGTTTGCTTGTTTGTTTCATTAATATCTTTTCTCTTGTGGGTTTTTCTGTAAAACGGTGCATCAAGATTTTATACGTAACTATATCTTTTTTTTATGACCCATTTGAATATTCCTGTTGAACAACAATGGGGCATTTATATTTCACTAAGTGGAGATGTATCCACTTTGCCAACACTCAGACGGATGAGAAAGACATGATATGTAAGCTCACACAACATGGGGAACACGAATCGGACGAGATGCGCTTAACATTTCCTCGGCATGATTCACAAACTAATTAAAAGCGGCCGTGCTGTTGTGAAATTAAGGCCAGACGTTTGATTCAAGTGATTCACTCTTTAAAAATTGCGACAGGCTGCTAGGCATTTGTGGCTCAGATTTGCTTTTATAGTGCTGGATGACAATGAAACGTCTTTTACTCAGAGAGAGAGAGAAAAGAAAGAATAATATTGTCTGAAAGAATTTCATATTGTCTGTTGTTGTTGTTTTTTTTTTTATCAGAAGGAGCTCACATTATGTTGAGGTAATCTGTCAAAAGGTAAATTAATTTAATTTCATTGTTTTATTTATTTTGTATTTATTTATTTATTTTTTGAGGTTTTGGCTACTTAACTTGGCCAAAAGATAATGTCTTAATTTAGTTTTATTTTATAATCGTATGACAAGATTGCCATTCGTTCTTCTTCTTTATGGTAGTGATTAAACTGAGGTGGGCAGGTGGCTTCTGCCTCCTAATGAGGAAAATACTTTCTAATGAGAGGTGCCCATTAGTGCTGACCTTATAAACTGGAGGAAGTGCCCTGATTCATACAAAAACATGACAAGTTAACGTCCCGCCCTTTCCCCTAAACCACCAGCAAATGCACTGTTTCCTAAGATAGTTTTCATGGGAACCACCCTGATCAAGATGATACAGGAAATACAGCTTTAATAAAAAAAAAGTTTTTTTTTTTTTTGTGGGCAAAAGAGTTTGCAAGCTTTATTTTCTTAGCTTATATATGAATTTCTGGAGAAAAGCTCCATCTGAAGAAAAACTGTGAGAATGATGATAAATTAGAAAATGCGAAACGTTTCCAAAATTAGCTTTAGAATAGCAAAACACTGAAAGTGGTCAGTATATTTTGTGTTTTTTTGTTTTGTTTTGTTAAAAATACCAAGAGTTTTTTTTTTTTTTGCTCACACAAAACTTTAGAATTTAAGAATTGAAGTTACTTGACAAATGACCACTTTGCATGTTGTGTCAGAATAAAAATGGATGCAATTGCAGATTGATTTCACATTACGTAGCATTTAGTTAGTATTACTAAGACAAATATTGTGGGAAAGGTATTCATTTTTTTTGTATTATAATGACAAAATCAGTCAAAATAGCTTGGTAGGTAGAGTAGGTAGACGAGCGAAAGATTAAAACGTGACATGGTCAAAAACCATAAACCTAGCTTCTGACCTTTATCTATCCCTGACTTTTAGACCTTAGCAGTGAAATCTGAACCTGAACCTTTAAGATTTACCGACTGAAGTTTAAAGGTCAAATTAGAGAAGATTTTGTGGGCAAAGGGTTTTTCAAGCCTTATTTAATTCGATTATATATGAGTTTCTGAAGAAAAACTGCATCTGAAGAAAAACTCTATAAAAGGCAAAAAGTGAATGAGGTTTAGAATAACAAAACACTGAAAGTGGTCAGTATTTCAACGTTGTATTTGTTTTTTGTTTTGTTTTGTTGTTTGCTTTGTTGTTTTGCTTTGTGTTTTGTTTTGTTTTGTTTTTTGTTTTTCTTTGTTTTGTTTTGTTTTTCTTTGCTTTGTTTTGTTTTTTGTTTTATTTTCCTTTGTTTTGTTTTGCTTTGCTTTGAACCCATTTCTGGAGCTCCCCCAACATTTTCAATGTCTCACTAATCAAACACATCTGATTGAGACCTGAAACAGGTCTGTCAAGAACCACTGTTTTAGATTATAGATATAATTATACAGTATGTCAGCAATTTTTTTTTTATCATGTACACTTTGACATAAAAATAGTGAAGCTGTGATTTACCTGTCCACACTCAAAGCACACAGATTGAGTACTGTAATCCCAACAGATGCTTTCTGGAGGAAAGGCACCAGTTTACACAGGAAGAGTCCAAAAGAGTTGTCATCAAATGGCCATTTTGTGAGAAGTAGCTGCAAGAAAAATAGAATCATTCATGACTAGGATTCCTCAGCCATATGACCCACAAGCTAATCGCTCACTCTTGTAGAATACAATGCATTAAGATGAATTGAATGTGGATGAACTGAGCAACATGTTCTCACTTATTTTAAGTGCTTATGTCTGGACATTTATTTATAAAGAAAGAAAGAAATGGAGATGTTTAACCATAATTGAAGCAGACTAGATTTCTGGAATTCACTTAAATAAATAGCAGATTTTTTGCTTTTACTCTCTGTTCCCGTCTTTGACCTTAAGGGCACACATCTTGTCTTGATGAAATGACTTCAGAGCCGTTTCAATGGTTGCTTGCATATCAGCCCAGGCACTTCCTTGGTCGCTGTATACTTTTGCTTGTCCTCACCTCGCAAGACTCCAGTAGTGTTGAAAACAAAAACCTCCTGTCTCCTTTTTTGAAGTGTACCCCTTTTTTGTAATGACATTTGCGTCATCAGAAGGTTTTTTTTTCTTTGTTGGTTTGGACTTCTGCGAAGTCTCATCATTTAAGTGGCCTTGACAAGGTTCTCTGAGAGGACCTTGCCTTTTGTTAAACAGGAAAAGTATGTGGATTATGCTCAGGTTTAGAAAGGAAGCTCCTCACGTGTATCCTGGCCCTGTTTGCATGAGGAGTGCAGAGTTTAATCAGTGGCACAGCTGAAGAAATGTGTTTGTATGTGTATTTGATGTATATTGGAAGTCAGTGGTCTGGAGTGCACACGAGTCTGTGCGTCACAAAACAAGTCATGCTAAATATCATACTTCCGTTTTAAAATATTGATGTTTTTTCACATGAACTTTCACTTGACACCTTCCGTCCTAATAAAGCAACACTCGAGATCTCTGATCTCAAAACTCTTAAGAGTATGTTCATCTGACATCTCCACCCAATATCCTGTTGAAGTGTCTCTCAAAATACATTTTGTAAAACATAATAGCTGACTTTATGGATGCTGAAAATTGGAAGACAAACATTCAGTGCTAAACTCATTTCAGAGAGTGTTTTGACTTTATAAATTGTGAAGACAGACTTCAGATAGGAATGAGAGTACAAGAGCTAAAGAAAAAAAACACTTTTGTTTAAAACATTGTTTTAAGAGTTTTAACATTGTTTTCAAGTTTTTAGAAATGCACTCTTTGTATTCATGCATGTAAAAAAAAAACATTAAAAAACACACTCTAAAATGTAATGTGGTGTATCCATCAAATGTATTCACAAAAATAAATAAAATTACATGAAAACATTTACATAAAGTAAATAAAATTTTGTACACTTTTGAATTCATGTGATTTTTTCCCCCTTTTAAATATCTTTATTATTATTATTCATTCATAAATGTCAGTAATTTTTTGTTTTTTTTGGGGGGGGGGGGGA